TATATGCAAATTTTCATCAAAATTTCATTACAGGATCAAAACTGTATTGTATGCCCTTAAAGGGCATTAGCTGTCAAATTCATGTTCACTTATTTGACTCAAATTTTCATATTTGATAAAACATATACCCAAATTACAAAGAGTCTAAATAAACAATTAACATTATTCATAGACTCCATAATACATACCAGCATTTCGTGTATACTTTTTGTCTAGAAGTCATCTTATAATTAACCATCGAGATGACCTTTGAAGACTGCCAACGGTCATATAACCTGATATAAACATAAATATAAATAGATAGCGACCATGTATAATTGGATTTTTCTAGATCTGTTTGATTTCATATTGTAGGTTAAAAAGTCTGTTTATTATCGTTTTTTACATGTATAAGAATGATTTTTATGGATCGAATCAGTCAACCAAGTGGCTCATTCTTGTGTCACTTTCAATGTTTACATTCTTTTCCTGTTAATAGCTAATGCTATTTGCCCCTTTAAAAAAACTTGTGAACTTATTATAACCTGTTTGTTGTTTTAACTATTTTCAGGTAGTTTTTGATGTTTAATAATAACAAAATCTGTTGTTAAGTCCACAGATTAGGATAAAAACAAATGTTATCATTATAATTATAATTTAAATTGTTTTTTCTGCATTTCCTGTCTATTTGTGTAGAATGAATAACATTGGCACCACGTTTACAATGGTTTACTAGCAATGTGCAGTTGTCATGGTTGTCATGAAATAGAAGTTCCTCTATAATACAAGTTCCAATAGGAACAGATATGGCATTGTTTATAACAAAGTTTCCATATGAAATTTTGTTATGCATGACAATTATATGTTGACACATCAGTGAAAATATTTCAAATAAATATGGGGAAAAAAAACCGTGGAGTCTTCAATAGTTGACTTGCAAAACATGTTAAACATGGATTCTGAATTAACCAGGTCCTGATTTGACTCACACTTGTCGAAAATTTCTCTATATTAGAAACGAATACTTTATTTTCGGATATACATAATCCGTTATCATTAACTCTTAAAGCAGATATAATTGAAAATAAAGTGGTTGAAGATGAAACATCGTATGAAAAGATTAAAAACTGGGAGAGTACTAAAACTGCAGACTTTATTGATAATATAGACGGAGAAAGAGTAAACGAAATACTGACTCAACTAGTAAATATGGTTGACAACGCATCAATAAGTGAAACAACCATAAATACCGCAGTAGAGAGTATTAGTAATTTACTAACCGATGCAGCTAAGAGTACTTTCGGCACATATACCCAGCAAAAAGTTCATCCAAATTTACAAAAATATAAGAAAGCACCCAAACCGTGGTTTGACGATGATTGTAAAGAAGCCAGGAAAAATTATAAATCATCAAAAAGAAAGTTGAGAAGAAATCGATCTCAATTTCAGGAGGCCGAAACTAAATCATTAGAGAAAAAATATAAGAGGACTATGGATAAAAGTATGAGAAAACATAGGAAAAAAATTAGAAATAGAATAAATAATTTGAAATCCACCAATCCAAAAGAATATTGGAAAATTTTGAATAGTGGAAAAAAACAGAAAAGCCCTAATATACCTATGAATGTATTGTTAGATTATTTTAAAACATTGAATGCTGGTAGCGCAAATGAAGATGGCGAAAATGTAAACAACCAAAACGACATTGGTAGATTAAATATGTCATTGAATGTACCCATAAATGTAGATGAAATTGAAAAAGCAGTTAAAAATCTGAAAAATAATAAAGCCTCTGGTGACGATGTTATTATAAATGAGTATTTGAAGCATTCATTTCATATTCTATCTAGTATATTAGTAAAGCTGTTTAATATTATATTTGACAGTGGCATTATTCCCGAGATTTGGTTATTGGGAAATATTATACCATTATATAAAAACAAGGGTGACAAATTGGATCCCAAAAACTTTAGGCCTATCACTATTATTAGTTGCTTTGGTAAATTATTTAACTCTGTTTTGAATACAAGATTAAACAATTTTTCTGATGATTATCAGATAATTTGTGAAAATCAGTCAGGATTTAGAAATGGATATAGTACTACAGATAATTTATTTGTTATTTACATGTTATTTAGCTTAATGAAAAGTAAAAAGAAAAAAATGTATTGTGCTTTTATTGACTTCGCTAAAGCCTTTGATAGTGTATGGAGAAATGGATTGTATCAGAAATTGCTTGGACACGAAATTAATGGTAAAATTTATAACGTAATATTCAATATGTATAGTGGTATTAAATCAAGAATTGTATATAATGGTCAATCATCTGACTATTTTCCTTGTAATATTGGTGTAAGACAAGGAGAAAATCTCTCTCCTTTTTTATTCTCCCTATATCTGAATGATTTGGAATCTTTTTTACAAATGCATGATGTTTTGGGACTAAGCTGTATATCTGAAGAAATTGAGAATGAGATGAATATTTATATTAAGCTTTTTGCTTTATTATATGCAGACGATACTGTTCTATTTGCTGAATCAGTTGAACTCTTCAGTCTCAACTTAATACATTTAGTGAATATTGTAAACTTTGGAAACTTAGTGTAAATTCTAGTAAAACGAAAATTATGATTTTTTCTAGTGGACGTTTATCGCAAAATCCTCATTTTTATTTTAATAATATTGAATTAGAAGTTGTCAAAGAAATTCCATATTTGGGATTGACTTTTTCGAGGACAGGTAGCTTTGCAAGTACTAAAAAGATATTAGTTACTAAGGCATATCGAGCTATGTACGATGTACTTAAAAAGGGGAGAGTTCATAACCTTTCTGTGAGATGTCAGTATGATTTGTTCGATAAGATAGTGAAGCCTATTTTACTTTATGGGTGTGAAATTTGGGGGTTCAGTAATATAGATATTATAGAGAGAGTACATTTGAAATTTTGCAAGCTACTACTGAACTTGAAGAAGTCGACCCCAAACTTTATGGTTTATGGCGAACTTGGTGTCTATCCCATGGCAGTCTACATTAAACTGCGTATGGTAAATTATTGGTGTAGAATTGTTCACGGCAAAGAAAATAAGTTGTCACACATTTTGTATAACTTTATGTTTTTTAAATATTCACAGAATAATTGTACGTCTGAATGGGTTATTTTTATAAAAAATATTCTTGAAACATGTGGCTATAGTAATATCTGGTTAGCACAAACTGGCTTTAACACAAAATGGCTAAATAATAGTTTAAAACAGTAGTTATTTGACCAATTTCAACAAAACTGGCGTTCAGATATATGTAATTCGTCAAAAGGTTTATCGTACAGATTATATAAGGATAAGTTTGAATTCGAAAAATATTTAGATATATTACCAGATAGAGATAGGGTTATATTTTGTAGATTTAGAACTGGTAATCATAGATTACCAATTGAAACTGGTAGATGGATAGGTTTAGATAGAGAAAGGAGATATTGTAATTTATGTCAATGTCAAGAATTAGGTGACGAATTTCACTTTCTTCTGAATTGTAGATCCCTAGACGACTCAAGAAAACTGTTTTTGGATAATTGTTATTGTAACAGAGTAAATGTAATTAAATTTTGTAAATTATTACAAACAACACATAGAAATAAGTTAAAAAATATATGTAAATTTATAAAGGTTATAAATTCATTAGCAGGTCTTCCTGGTTAGCCTTTGTCTATCTGTTTTTCTATTATAATAACTAAATGATCTTGTATAGTAATTGTAACATTCATATCTTGTCATGTGCACAATTTATTTTGTATACTATGTATTATTATTTCATTCTTTGTACCAATGTGTATACAATGGTTTTAAAGAATAAAATTGTCTTGTCTTGTCTTGACTTGATGCTGAATTGACTATACCTGATGCCGGTTTAATCAGGTGTCAATGTGACAAGAATTTGAGATCTCGATTCATATCAAACAGTCAACAAGTCATATTAAGTGTGTTTCTTTAAATATCAATCTGAATTTAATGTCTAAATGATGCATTAACTAAACTAATAAAAGAAAATAAAAAAAACCAAATGATCTGTCATTTTTTAAATAATTAACCCATACAATTGTTGCTTCTGAGTTCCTGCTTTCACTTTTAAAACATGGCTACTTTCACTTTATTATTATCAGATAATAATTGATTGTTTTCTTGCAAGTGGTTTGCAATTTTTTATGGATGATCCTACCACTTTAGAAATGGGACATCCAGGCATAAAAAAGGGAATTTTCTTGATTATTTTTGCATGAAATTAAAATAAAATTAAAACAGATTTTAAAAATGAGACCAAATTTGAGAAAAATTGGCATTCATCCTTTGTACAATTGAAAAGTGAATTGAAATATAAAAACATCTAGATGTTGTTAAGAGCCGAAGTTTAAATCTTTTCATTGTCCTGAGTTCAGTCTAGTCTTAAGACTATAAATGTATATTTTGACTGAAGGCTGCTTCAAAAATGATCATTGCCTATTCCTGAGATGTAACAAATGTGCTAGCCCTGACCCCTATATCAAAGAATTATAATGATAAACTCCTTTAAATCTTTGCATAAAACTTGTCATGCATTCCTGAATTAAAAAACGAGAATCCATAAACAAATATAAAGCTGATACCACAAAATGTTTTGTTTTTGATACACAAAAGTGTGAAAGATATTTCAAGATGAAAGAATTGTAATTTTCAAGGGAACCAAAGTGAGCTTTACATGCATATTTATGGAACTTGTAAGTCACAGTTGACTACATATGTTCCTATTGTAACTATTGTAGGCGATAACTGACACAATCTGATTTCCTTCCCTCATTCATGATATCACAGGATTTTTTGCTGCCTACTATTTTGATTTTTGGAAACATATTTGTTTACAAGCATTGTTTAGCTTTCAGTGATAATGAATAATTTGAAATGATCATTACAGGCAATTTACAGCACTTTTAACCAAATAATTTTTTATGCATCTCTTATAGGATCATATAGTTTAAATAGATCTTTTTAAATATTTTTCAGATATGACATGCCAGTGGAATGCTGTATCTAAAACCAGAGTCGGGTGAGGATCATAAAATATTGAGTTTAAAACATGTTCATATGCAATTGTTTGCCATTTATACTGGAATTTTTGTGAAAGGTAATGTTCTTCAGAAAAATTACAGGAAAATTTGGCATGGAAACTAAGGTTGAATATTGAAATAAAAATGAATGTATTGCATAAAGAAAATTTAAACCACAATCTCTTGTAACCTGTGCTCAATAAATTAAATAACAGGAATACAACTAAAGCAAAGGGACACAATTGACATTAAACAAAGCTGAAGTGTGAGGATTACGGTGGCACACATTGTTATTATTTAATGTAGTTTTGATTGACAGTGGATTTTGACAAGAAAAATGTAGATCTCTATTTTTCAAAAATTGCAATCGTAGATTGTTGTTTATAATAGACTAATTAAATTTTAATATTTTATTTTTTTTTGTCTTTTCAGAGGAAAAACTAGCTCTGGTATTGCTAAACCAGCCACTTCCAACTGACAGAAAGCTGTTTAAAGTATTATGGCGTAAAGGTACATTACATTTAAGTTGTTTCAGTAGAAATGATTGATGTTCAGTGAATAGATTATTTGCTCTGACAGCTGAACAAATTTTATAACACTCTGATTTGCAACTCTTTATATAATGAGCTACATATAATGAATTTACAGAGGAATACCCCAGAAAGTAAATTGCCCTCAATTTAAGCATTCATTATGAAAAATCACCCTAAGAAATGACTGAATTGGTTTGACACTATTTTGTGTAATTTAACTATGTACATGTATACTATGTAAATTATTGTAGCATTGCTCAAGGTAGCAGTGGATGGAGGTGCCAATCATTTATACAACACAAATACACATAATAGAGAGAAATATCTACCAGATCTCATCACAGGAGATTTTGACTCAATCCAACCCAATGTCAAAAGTTACTATGAAGAACAGGTTTGAAATTTATTAATTTTATTTTTTTTTTTTGCACTGATTTATACTTTACTAGAGATAATAAGCACCAAAGTCTTGCATGGACAAAGGAGTAGGGGCAATAAGGCCCTTATTTGGCCCAAATATTGCTGCAAATTTAAAAGTTATCATACATATTCTTAAATTTGTCCTAACTAGGCTAAGGTACAAGGTATTCAGAAAATAAAAAGAAATATTACATTTAACGAGTTACCACGGCCACAAAGAATGACGAAATTTGTATATTTTGTAAAATTTCTTGATCTTCCTTGTTTTACGCCAATTTTTAAGTATATTTTAGATTAGCAAAGTATGTGCGCACCCAAGAAACAACTTTATTAAGTCTCCCAAACGAAGTTTGGGAAGACTTATTGTTTTTGCTCAGTTATTATTATTATTAAGTCTCCCAAACGAAGTTTGGGAAGACTTATTGTTTTTGCTCAGTTCTTCTTCTTCTTCTTCTTCTTCTTCTTCTTCTTCTTCTTCTTTTTCTTCTTCTTCTTCTTCTTCTTCTTCTTCTTCTTCTTCTTCTTCTTCTTCTTCTTCTTCTTCTTCTTCTTCTTCTTCTTCTTCTTCTTCTTCTTCTTCTTCTTCTTCCGCCGCTTTTAAATTTGAACTTGTCCGCACCCGTTCTCCAAAACCGTTTGTCAGATTAACTTGGGGTTTCACAATATGTTAGACTAACATGTTTAGTGGTGCAATCAGGGTTTTGTTTGTGCAATGGGGTTTATAAAGGGGTACTTTGAGGGGCAAAAAGAGAAGAGGGTTTTACTATAGAACCCTATGGGATTTTATTTTTAAAAAATTTCAAATGATTATAAATTGAAAATCGTTTGTGATAGACACAATCTTTTTAATTGAAAATGTTCTAAATGATAAAGCCCATTAAATGAAATACAGGAGTAGTCTCCAGGGGTCACCCCCATCCCCTGCCATTTAAGAAAGTTCTAATACCTTGTAAGTGGTCAAGATCCCCACCCCTAAACCATATATATTTTGGTTTGTCATGCTAAGATGGTTTGAATGATATATAGGGTTAGTCCCCAGGGGTCATCCTGACCCCCTGCCGTTTGAGAAAGTTCTAATATCTTGTAAATGGTTGAGCTCCCCACCCCTAAACCATATATATTCTGGTTTGTCATGATAAAGCACATCAAATGTAATACAGGGTTAGTCCCCAGGGGTCACCCCCACCCCATGCCATTTAAGAAAGTTCTTATATCTTGTAAGTGGTCAAGATCCCCACCCCTAAACCATATATATTCTGGTTTGTGATGCTAAGATGGTTTGAATGATATACAGGGTTAGGCCCCAGGGGTCATCCCAACCCCCTGCCATTTGAGAAAGTTCTAATATCTTGTAAATGGTCGAGATCCCCACCCCTAAACCATATATATTCTGGTTTGTCATGATAAAGCACATCAAATGAAATACAGGGCTTGTCCCCAGGGGTCACCCCCACCCCATGCCATTTAAAAAAGTTCTAATATCTTGTAAATGGTCGAGATCCCCACCCCTAAACCATATATATTCTGGTTTGTCATGCGAAGATGGTTTGAATGACATACAGGGTTAGTCCCCAGGGGTCATCCTGACCCCCTGCCATTTGAGAAAGTTCTAATATCTTGTAAATGGTCGAGATCCCCACCCCTAAACCATATATATTCTGATTTGTCATGATAAAACACATCAAATGAAATACAGGGTTAGTCCCCAGGGGTCACCCCCACCCTCTGCCATTTAAGAAAGTTCTAATATCATGTAAGTGGTCAAGATCCCCACCCGTAAACCATATATATTCTGGTTTGCCATGCTAAGATGGTTTGAATGATGTACAGGGTTAGTCCCCAGGGGTCATCCCGACCCCCTGCCATTTGAGAAAGTTCTAATTTCTTGTAAATGGTCGAGATCCCCACCCCTAAACCATATATATTCTGGTTTGTCATGATAAAGCACATCAAATGTTATACAGGGTTAGTCCCCAGGGGTCACCCCCACCCCCTGCCATTTAAGAAAGTTCTAATATCTTGTAAGTGGTCAAGATCCCCACCCCTAAACCATATATATTCTGGTTTGTCATGCTAAGATGGTTTGAATGATATACAGGGTTAGTCCCCAGGGGTCATCCCGACCCCCTGCCATTTGAGAAAGTTCTTATATCTTGTAAATGGTCGAGATCCCCACCCCTAAACCATATATATTCTGGTTTGTCATGATAAAGCACATCAAGTGAAATACAGAGTTAGTCCCCAGGGGTCACCCCCACCCCCTGCCATTTAAGAAAGTTCTAATATCTTCTAAGTGGTCAAGATCCCCACCCCTAAACCATATATATTCTGGTTTGTCATGCGAAGATGGTTTGAATGATATACAGGGTTAGTCCCCAGGGGTCATCCCGACCCCCTGCCATTTGAGAAAGTTCTAATATCTTGTAAATGGTTGAGATCCCCACCCCTAAACCATATATATTCCTATTTGTCATGTCTCGAACATTTGAATGATGTATATGGTCAGTCCCCAGGGGTTCCCCCCACCCCAATGTTCTAATATCTTGTAAATGGTTGAGATCCCCACCCCTAAACCATATATATTCCTGTTCGTCATGTAATGAACATTTGAATGACGTATAGGGCCAGTCCCCAGGGGTTCCTCCCCACCCCCAATGTTCTAGTATCTTGTAAATGGTCGAGATCCCCACCCCTAAACCATATATATTCTGGTTTGTCATGCCAAGATGATTTGAATGATATATAAGGTTAGTTCCCAGGCATCACCTAATGCATATAACTTTACTGGACCAAACCAATTTTCACTGGACGTTGCCCAATGTCAGGCGACCCTGGGAATTACGAATTATGGGAGCTTTGTTTGGGAGACTTCGTAACAGCATCCTGTTACAATCATTTCTTCTTCTTCTTCTTCCGCCGCTTTTAAATTTGAACTTGTCCGCACCCGTTCTCCAAAACCGCTTGTCAGATTAACTTGGGGTTTCACAATATGTTAGACTAACATGTTTAGTGGTGCAATCAGGGTTTTGTTTGTGCAATGGGGTTTATAAAGGGGTACTTTGAGGGGCAAAAAGAGAAGAGGGTTTTACTAAAGAACCCTATGGGATTTTATTTTTAAAAATTTTCAAATGATTATAAATTGAAAATCGTTTGTGATAGACACAATCTTTTTAATTGAAAATGTTCTAAATGATAAAGCCCATTAAATGAAATACAGGAGTAGTCTCCAGGGGTCACCCCCATCCCCTGCCATTTAAGAAAGTTCTAATACCTTGTAAGTGGTCAAGATCCCCACCCCTAAACCATATATATTTTGGTTTGTCATGCTAAGATGGTTTGAATGATATATAGGGTTAGTCCCCAGGGGTCATCCTGACCCCCTGCCGTTTGAGAAAGTTCTAATATCTTGTAAATGGTTGAGCTCCCCACCCCTAAACCATATATATTCTGGTTTGTCATGATAAAGCACATCAAATGTAATACAGGGTTAGTCCCCAGGGGTCACCCCACCCCATGCCATTTAAGAAAGTTCTTATATCTTGTAAGTGGTCAAGATCCCCACCCCTAAACCATATATATTCTGGTTTGTGATGCTAAGATGGTTTGAATGATATACAGGGTTAGGCCCCAGGGGTCATCCCAACCCCCTGCCATTTGAGAAAGTTCTAATATCTTGTAAATGGTCGAGATCCCCACCCCTAAACCATATATATTCTGGTTTGTCATGATAAAGCACATCAAATGAAATACAGGGCTTGTCCCCAGGGGTCACCCCCACCCCATGCCATTTAAAAAAGTTCTAATATCTTGTAAATGGTCGAGATCCCCACCCCTAAACCATATATATTCTGGTTTGTCATGCGAAGATGGTTTGAATGACATACAGGGTTAGTCCCCAGGGGTCATCCCGACCCCCTGCCATTTGAGAAAGTTCTAATATCTTGTAAATGGTCGAGATCCCCACCCCTAAACCATATATATTCTGATTTGTCATGATAAAACACATCAAATGAAATACAGGGTTAGTCCCCAGGGGTCACCCCCACCCTCTGCCATTTAAGAAAGTTCTAATATCATGTAAGTGGTCAAGATCCCCACCCGTAAACCATATATATTCTGGTTTGCCATGCTAAGATGGTTTGAATGATGTACAAGGTTAGTCCCCAGGGGTCATCCCGACCCCCTGCCATTTGAGAAAGTTCTAATTTCTTGTAAATGGTCGAGATCCCCACCCCTAAACCATATATATTCTGGTTTGTCATGATAAAGCACATCAAATGTTATACAGGGTTAGTCCCCAGGGGTCACCCCCACCCCCTGCCATTTAAGAAAGTTCTAATATCTTGTAAGTGGTCAAGATCCCAACCCTAAAACATATATATTCTGGTTTGTCATTCTAAGATGGTTTGAATGATATACAGGGTTAGTCCCCAGGGGTCATCCCGACCCCCTGCCATTTGAGAAAGTTCTAATATCTTGTAAATGGTCGAGATCCCCACCCCTAAACCATATATATTCTGGTTTGTCATGATAAAGCACATCAAGTGAAATACAGAGTTAGTCCCCAGGGGTCACCCCCACCCCCTGCCATTTAAGAAAGTTCTAATATCTTCTAAGTGGTCAAGATCCCCACCCCTAAACCATATATATTCTGGTTTGTCATGCGAAGATGGTTTGAATGATATACAGGGTTAGTCCCCAGGGGTCATCCCGACCCCCTGCCATTTGAGAAAGTTCTAATATCTTGTAAATGGTTGAGATCCCCACCCCTAAACCATATATATTCCTATTTGTCATGTCTCGAACATTTGAATGATGTATATGGTCACTCCCCAGGGGTTCCCCCCACCCCAATGTTCTAATATCTTGTAAATGGTTGAGATCCCCACCCCTAAACCATATATATTCCTGTTCGTCATGTAATGAACATTTGAATGACGTATAGGGCCAGTCCCCAGGGGTTCCTCCCCACCC